GGACCAGCCCCAGACCACAGTGGCAGTGGAGCCTCTGGGGCATCCCTGGACTGTGTCAACAAAGGTAGGTGGGCCACTGGAGCCAGGCCCAGACCACTGGGATCCCAGCAGCGGGGTCTCCTTCTGGGGCAGCTGGGACAGTGTGGCTGTGGCCGTTGCTGCAAGGAGAGCATGAATCCAGGTAAGGTCCTCTCTCATGCCCTACCCCTCCACTCTAATCCCCTCACTTCCCTCCCCCCGCAAGACCTGGCACCCCCAGCTTGCTCCAACACCCTCCCTTGCTCCTGCACCCTTTCTGCTGGCCAGACATACCCTCCCCCCCTTCTCCTTCATTCACGTTACTCCTGCATCCTCTCTCCTGGCTACACACTGCACCCTCCCTTGCTCCTGCTCCCTCCACCTGGCCAGACACCCTACTCCCAGCCTCTTCTGCACCTTACCTCCCTGCTAGATCCTGCACCCCATCGCTGTCCTACTTGCTGGCAGTCCTGTCTCTGTCGCTGTACCCCTAATTTTTGTCCCTACCCCAGAGCCTACAGAAGTTCATAAAAATCCACTAACTCCGGAACCCCAGAAAAGTAAATCTGGTCTATGGGAAGCCCTGAACCTCAGTCCCTCCCATCCCTTCCCCTCACCCCATGAATCTGGGGCACCAGAGGAGTGAGTTGCCTGAGTTGGGGCCACATCAGTGAGCATTGAGGGTTTTTAGAGTTATTTTGCTTCCCAGTTGTGAGGTCCCCAACTGATTTTTTTTCTTCTTTGGGGCAGTGACTCCCAACCCAAAAAAGGTTCCCCGTCCTTGCCATAAATAAAAAACATTGAAACTTTTTGTATTGGACATAATATTTTACTTTATTTAAAATTCAGTTTGATAAACTAACATGAAAAAGTTAAATTGTAATCTGTTTCATAATTTACATTAAACTGTTCTTGCTAGCTGCATCTGGTTCAGAAAATAGGGTCACCGTACCCAACTTGCCCTTGCCTCCCCTCTCCCCTCCTTCTCCCAGCACACACATCTGTGAATATGTTAAATCTCAGTACGCCACTTCTGAAAGGTTTCCGACTCCTGTACTAAAAGGTAAGATTTGCATGTGAAAGGTAAGATCTGCATCTTAATTTAGTTATTAATGAAGCTGCTGTAAGTAGGACTATTATTGACTTTTCAAAGTATCACTAGCATTTGGACCCTTACATAGAGGCGAATAAGTCAAACCTCGGTACTCCACATCTGAAAGGTTGCTGACCCCACCCTAGCACATTGCCTGGGAGCTGGAGATGCACAGGCCCTTTCAACTGCTTCTATTTAAAGGGCTCGCGCTTGCTGGGTGGCTACATTGCCTGGCAGCCAGCCAGTGGAGACAAGCCCTTTTAATAGAAGCAATTGAAAAGTCTCGCAGCTCTCAGTCCCACTGGCCCGTTGCCTGGGAGCTGCCACGGAGGCGCGAGCCCTTCTGTCTGTTTCTATTCAAAGGGCTTGTACTTGCTGAGTGGCTGCCAGGCAGCGAGGCCAGGAACTGTGAGCCATGTTATGTGAATTCTAAGCCTCCACCCCAGACAACTCTGGGAGGAGGCTAGCCCCCAGCACCCTCCCCTCTGCTCCGGGTCCCTTCCATTGGCCAGAAGTCAGGGGGCAGTGACCCCAGGCCAAGCAAAGCTCCTGGCAGGGTAGTTCTCAATCTCACCCCTTCCGCCTGAGGCCCTGCCTCTTCTGGGTCGGCCCCCGGCCACTTACGAAATATGTGAAGTGGCTCTCCTTCCAGAATTATTGGCCACCCCTACCTTACACCGAGACTCCCCATCAAGTCCCTCTCATGGTGAAGAGCTTTCTACAGAGGGGGGAGTCTTCTGGAGGTTGGTCAGACCTAGCTTGTCCATGTCAGGAAGGGGGAATTCCATCATTTGCTCCAGGTTCTCTAACACAGTGGTTCCCAACCACCAGTCCACAGACCAGGCCACAGCACACTGCCTTAGCACAGGGACGGTTGTCTTGCTTGGACTCCGAAGCAATGGGTAGGAGCTCTGGGAAGGAGCTGAAGCGTGGTGGTGTACCACTAGGACCCAGCAGCAGGCACAAAGGAAACCATCACTGGACTCGGCCCCTGCAGCAGGGAGGACTTGCAACCTCTGCTTGTAGGTATTCTGGGGCCAGGCTTTGGACTGGATCCCTGAGCCATGGAGGGGAAGGGGAAGGGGGCTGAGGCTGCTGCGGGGCCACGAGGAGGATTCTCCAAGCAGGTTCCTGGGAGTCAATCCCTGCCTGGCCCAGCCCCTACCCCAGGGCGGGCAGTGCTTAGGGGCAGGTAAGAGACACCCTCCCTCCCTTCCCTTGGGAGCAGTGCTCTGGGCCAACACGGGGGGTGAGGGGGTTTGGCCCCATGCTGTTCCCAGCAGAGCTGGCTGTGATCCCTGTCTGGGCCCAGGGAAGCTGCTGCCAGGTCCCAGCATGTGCAGGGTGGGAGGAGTCAGTCCTAGGGATGGCCAGGAGGGGACTGAAGAGGGGTGGGGACAGATAAGGGAGAATGAGGGCCAGTGTTCTCTCTCAGGCATGCACCTGCACTGGCATGCACCATCAACTTGCCTACCTCCTCAGCAGAACTGTGCAGTGGCTGCCCCGCCTCAAGAGCAGCAGGGCAGTCACCACATGGCCCTGGCCCTAGTTTCAGCAGAGCTGCTGCCCAGGTGGGCTGCATGGCAAGTGGCAGCTGCTGTTGTGGCTCTGCCCGGGGCCCAAGCCACATGGTCGGCAGCAGCTGCTTGGGCAGCCCAGTCCTAAATTCAGGGTTTTAATACAAAGGCCCTGGGGAAGGATGTGAGCGCATTTACAGCTGCTTTTTGTTTCCCCAAAGAAACTGTTTTTTCTGTGTAAAAAGCGAAGACCGCAGGGTGTGATGTTTCTCCATGCTTCTCTTAAATCTTATTTTAATACTTAAACTCTACATGGACAATTCTTTGAGTCTGAATTTGGGTAATAGTTAGGATTACAAACAAATTAATCTTTTTGTGGGACCATTGTCTCAGCAAGAATCTATCTTCACTCTTCTACAGAGTTGTCTGGTGTGCAGTTTACCAATTCTAAAAAAGACCCGTTGTCTTCAAGGGCAGGGATTTGGCCTTTCTTTAGGTGGTTGCCAGGTGTCCGGTATTGGACTGGACAGTCCAGTATTTTTGCCTCCTGTCTGGTAAAAAACACCTAAAATGTCCGGTATTTTCTGATTTTCTCTTTTTCCTGGCCAAAAAGCCTCAAAAGCATTTCTTAAAGGGGCCATGTTTGTGTTTGTGGGGTTTGTTTGGGTTTTTTTTGCTTAACAAGTCTTGGGGTCCTTTTTTTTTTTTCAGTATTTTTTAGAAACCATCTGGCAACCCTAGGAAGAAGAGGAAGAGATTAGAGGATCCCTTTCCATTAAATGCTATCGTATTCTGGCGTTGAGAAGTTCCTTGTGTAATTATTTTTTTGAAATTGCACTGGTGTGTCTGACTAGATGAGAAGCTGGGTTTTCTGAAATAACCAATAAGCTGTTAAGAGACTACCTAGAATTATCACCCAGAGTCCAGTACAGGAAGACATTGGAAAGGGAATGTAGAAGGAAGAATATATGTAAAAACATGTACGATTTAGATTCTCTTCTGCTGTTTCTAGTTTACCACTGGCATAGTACCTACCACCTTATAAGAGTGGAAGATGCAGTGTAGACATTACAGAGGTTTATTGGGGTTAGATGAAATAATAGCGGAGGAGCAAATACATAAACGTAAAACTTCTGAAGAGTAGATAGATAATGATGAGGATAGGATCCTGGGTTCTTTTTTAGGTCTGAAATTGAATTATGTGATCTTTGGCAAGGTGCATAATTGCTGTATGCTATATTTTCCTATCTGTACAATAGACGTAATTATTTTGTGAAAGTGCTTGCAGAGCTACAGAGAAGTACTAAGTACTTTTCTGAAAGAATAATTTTTCCTTGCTTGCGCTAAACTTAAAACGTTTGGCTGAAAAATAAATCTTATTTTTGTGGCTCAGTTATTGCTGATAAGCCATGTTGCTTTTCTTACTATTGATTTCAACAAGGAAATGATTCTGTACACTAGCCAATTAAAACTGTAACTATGGCTACGTGTCTTCCATCTGCTAAGTAGGGCATTCTGACACTGTTAGAATTTCTGTAACGTAGCAGCATTTTTCCTCGTGAGGAAAAGCTGCAGGATGGGGAGAGAAAGCAGAATAGGAATCTACTCCACAATCTCTGAATGCCACTCTATTATCACTCCCTATTTCAAAGATTCTTATGACCTATCTTCCAGATGCCACCATTTCCTGTCTCTATGCCCAGGGCTGACTGCACTTCCCAAACTCTATTTACATTAAGGATGTTAAAAAGTGGGTAATTGGGTAACTGTGTAACCACAGACTGCTTCTTTCGAAAGAAGCTTTTTTTAAATAATCTTTCGAAAAAGCTTCTTTCGAAAGAGATTGTCTAGATAGCCACCACTTTTTTTCGGAAAAGCAATCTGCTTTTTCAAAAGAAAGCACCCAGGCAATCTGGGTGCTCTCTTTCAAAAAAGCCCTGTTTGAGTTCAAGAACACCTTTTTTCGAAAGAGCTCTTTCAAAAAAAGGTGTTCTTCCTAGTATAATGAGGTTTACTGCTGTCTCAAAAAACGCCACTTTTTTCCAAAAAAAACCCTGTAGTCTAGACATAGCCTCAGATGTACACGGTTATATACACCCACCTAATACCCCAGGGTCTCTGTGAGGTAGTCACACTATAGTGACAAGCACCTAGGAAAGCCTATAAACAAAAAAGATAGAGGATTTTTGCATTTGCAATTAGCTAAGGTGAGGCTTCCAGGAATGCAATTTAAAAATTTAAATTTGATGTAATTGTCTGGAAAACAAATTGTCTTTGACTTAGTGGAGCTAACGTAACAGATTCTTTCAAAATGACCTTGCTTTCTTTATTCTCAAAGCAGTTCTGTTTTGTTGCTCTATCTTGGTTCTCCAGAGTGGTCAAGAAGGTTGCCCAATACATGTCTGATGTTCTGGAAGACAGTAAAGATAAAGTTCAGGAAAATTTATTGGCTAATGGAGGTAAAGTATTAACTTTGTTCTTCCCAGTGTTTCAGGATTTGGTGCTTTTTTTCCTTCAGACTTAGCAAGTCATGTAAAGAAGCAGACTGAGAACTTAGTTTAAACATGAAAATGCTTTCATCTGTCTCTTGAATAAGTCACTTATTTTGGAGGGGATAAAACCTAGATACAGATCTACATTAAATGCTCACTTCAAAAGTCTTGGTTTCCCTTTGCGTATTGTAGTTTTATACTTCTACCAGTTTAAAGTCCAATTATTTTCTTGCTGTTAATACATTTTTAAAGATTTTGTTTGGGATGGAATATTATATCAGTAATTTGTGTTCATGTAGCAGGATGTACAAATCATAACTACTAAGATCTTCACGTAAGCTAGTTGAGAATCTCTGCCTACCCTCAAGTTGTCAAGTGACACTTTATCAGGCTAGCTATCTCCTAGAAACAAGACTGGCCATAGTGGTACACAGAGCTGATCCCTCATGTAAGCATTCTATTGCCAAGTAATATATCTGACAAATATTTACTATGGTTTGGAATTTTTATGAAAGGTAGATACAAAATTGAGTTAAAATGACTGCTGAAGTAGTGCCCAGCAAAAAAATAATAATAATAATCTGATACTTGCATATCTGTATATAAACTACTCCCTGCACTTCTGCATGAAGCTGCTAGTCTGTCAGAGCACCAAATTAACGTTGACATTCAAAAAACAGCTTTGGGCAAATCAAGACTTGAATGCTGTAGGTCATGGCGTGGGCAAACATCCTGACCCTCTGAGCCACATAGAGTAATCTGCAGAAGTTTGAGTGCTGGGTGTACCTGCGAGGGCTCAGGACTTCAACTTCATTCTAGCTGAAGCCTCAAGTCCCACCAGGCCTCTCTGTGGGCTGAAGCTCTGAGACCTCCCTCTACAGGGCAGAAACCCCTAGCTCCAGCATCCTGCTGGAGTGCAAAAGCCTCACCCTCCCTCTGCCCCACTCTGGCAGGTTGAGAATGGAGGAAAGGTGTGAAGGGGCTATGTGAGCGAAACTTTAACTGTAAAAAAGCCACAAGCGGCTTATGAGCTGCAGTTTGACCACCGCTGCCATCGGTGGTAGGCAGACATACTATTTTTGTCTTCATCACTTTGCTGTTTCTTAAAGAGAAATCATTGTTGCTTTCTCCAGGTTAGTATTTCTTAAATTTTAATGGGCTACAGAAGTCAGTATCTGAAGGCAAGAATCCCAATCAATGCACTTATAGCTTTTTAGATTCAGATGTTCTAATACTGTAAGGTAGGGATGGGCAACCTTTTTTCGGTCAGAAAAAAAAATAATTCAGGGGCTTCAGACAAGTGAAAAGCAAAACAAAACAAAAAAACAAAAACATGGCCCCCAACTGAGAAGGAGAAAGACACCACCACATTTCCCTCACGTACCAGAGCCTAGGGGAGCCCAGCTTCAAATTTTGTGTGCTCCAGCCCTGCGGTGGGGGAGGAGGGCTGGAATGCCAGCATAGAGATCTCCAGTGCTGGGAGGGGAGGGAGAAGCCCTGAGCCTCGGGGGCCAAATCTAAGGCAAGCTATGGGTCCCATCCAGCCCCTGGGCCTTAGGTTCCCCACCCCTGCCATTAATATATGTAACGGGGCCAATATATTTGAAAGTCTGCAGTCTTTCTCAGTACTTTCCATGGATCTCACAAAAGTAGGTGACTGGGCAACAAAATGGCAAATTAATTTTAATGTCAATAAATGCAAAGTAAAAAATCCCAACCCTACATACAAAATTATAGGGATTAATTTGATTATAACCACTCGAGAGAGATCTTAGTCATTGTGGCTAGTTCTCTGAAAACATCCACTCCAATGTGCAGCAGCAGTCAAAGCAAACTGAATGTTAAGAATCATTTAAAAAGGGATAGAGAATTTTTTTCTTGCCTCCATATAAATCCATGGCACACCCACATCTTGAATACTGCGTACAGATGTGGTTGCCTCATCTCAAAAAGATATATTGGTATTGGAAAAAGTTCAGAAAAGGGCAACAAAAATGATTAGAAGTTTGGAATGGGTGCCGTATGAAGAGAGATTAAAGAAGACTGAGACTTTTCAACTTAGAAAAGAGGAGACTAAGGGAGATATGATAGAGTTCTGTAAAATCAGGACTGGTATGGAAAAAAGCGAATAAGGAAAAGTTATGTACATAAGAACTAGGAGTCACCAAGTGAAATGAATAGGTAGCAGGTTTAAAACAAACAAAAGGAAGTTTTTCTTCATGCAGAGCACAGTTAACCTGTGGAACTTCTTTCCAGAGGATGTGGTAGAGACCAGAACTTTAACAGAGTTCAAAAAAGAACTAGATAAATTCATGGAGATTAGGTCCATCAATGGCTATTAGCCAGGATGGATAGGAATAGTGTCCTTAGCCTCTGTCAGAGGCTGGGAATGGGTGACAGGAGAGGGGTTTACTTGATGATTCCTTGTTCTAGTCACTCCTTCTAGGGCATCTGGCATTGTCCACTTTTGGAAGACAGAATGCTAGGTTAGATGGGGGTCTGGTCTGATCCAGTATGGCTGTTGTTATGTTCTTATCAGAAATAATACTGTGGAAAACAAAGTATCAAAGTCTATTATCTTTATTATCAAACTTAACACATTTCCTTCACACTTTCAGTTGACTTGGTTACTTATATAACAAGGTTCCAGTGGGATATGGCCAAGTATCCAATCAAACAGTCTCTGAAGAATATTTCAGAAATAATTGCAAAGGTAAGATCACATCTAATTCAAACTACATATATATTGTATTGCTGTTATGCTTGCTGCAAGAATGTGGTTTGGCAATGATTCTCAATTTTTTCCACTCCATGCTTCTTATGAAATTAGAGGTTTTTCCTCAAGGGTCACTCCCCTTCATCTATTACCTGTTCTGTGACAACTGTATTATTGGCCACAGCAAAAAATACAATGAGACCATATACAAATAAAACGTATGTCTATGCTATGTGTTGGACAGATGGGTTATGTCTCACATTTGATATTTGTGCGCTCCCCCCCCCCCACTGCAAAATTTGTTCTCACCCTGTGCAATCTCCTGGATTTCAGTGAGAATACACAGGCCAGAGCAAATATGACCCCTTAAGTTATTGCTTTTTGTATTAAAACAACAGGAAACTTCAGTATATACTTTCACTGCATTAATAGCACCAGCGTATTTTTCTGTTTGCTTCTGTTCCCTTTGTGTGGTGTCCGAACTAGCTAATGATGGTATTTGCCCAAAAGAAAATCCAGAAAACAGAAGCATCTGCACAGGGCACAAAGGAGAATTGTCTCTGAAAACCCGTAAAAGAATGATGAAGTAGGTTGTGGGTAAAAGGAAGAATCAGTGCCAGAAGGCTGACACGTGCTCTGTAAATATGGTTAGAGCTCTCGTCCATTTTGATCAATTTTACAATAATAGGATTTTTAAAAGAGTAAATGTCATGATTTCATCTATTGAAAATGCACAGTATTGGATTTGTGGCAGAGTTACTGGAGAGGGGTTGTGGTACTGCTACTCTTTTGTGGTGCTGCTGCTGCTGGTGGCTGTCCCTTCAGAGCTGTGCAACAGGAGAGAGTTCTGTGCTATTGTCTGTAGAGCTGGATCCTCAGTCAGTACCTGCCACCCAGCTCTGAAGGCAGTGCAGAAATAAGGGTGGCACTAGCACAGCCCATACTCCTTGCAACCCACCTGCAGCTCCCTTTTGGATTAGGTAGGGATGTTAGCGACTAGTTGAGTAGTGACTTGACTAATCGCACCCCCACCTTGCTGCCTCTATTAGAGAGAGGCAGCAAGGGAGTAGGGAGCAGGAACTGATTCCCTCCAGCACCATCTCCATGGAGGGCAGGGGAGGCAGAGGCACAGCAAAAAAACGGCGCAAGTGGGCACTGCTTGAGTTCCCGCTCGCGCTGTTCCCACTGCAGGCTCTTTTGCTTTTTAAAGGTACAAGAGCCCTCTGGGGCTCTTCTACATTTCAAAAGCAGAAGTGCCACAGGGTCCATGGGGTGAGCGGGGACTCAAGCAAGGGATTTAAAAGCCAGTTCCCTCCAGCACCATCTCCAGGGTGCTGCGTGCCTCTGAGGCAGCAGGGGGGAAATAGGGGACGCTGCTGCAAAGCAGCCCTGTTTGCAGCAGTCAGGGCTGTCCACTATGAACAGGGGCTGCTGGACTTAGCACGAGCCAGGACCGAACAGTCTCAACTAGCACTGATCACTTAAAATGCAGAGCTGCAGCACAGGTGGCTCTGGATCCTGCACGAGCCAGGACTGCTCATCACCAGCTGGAGTCAGCTCCTGGAGCTACCTCTGCTGCAGCTCTGTACAGCAGCACTTATTGACTAATTGTAGTTGATACAAATTGCATCTACTAGATGATTAGCCAGATAATGATGTTTTAACATCCTTAGGATCAGGACCCTCAATTTAAGAGAGACTCATCTCCCACCATGAAACCTGTATACTACAGGGTAAAATGGTACACACAACCAGATTTCACAGTCTGTAATTTTCATGGTTGTGAATTTGGTAGGGCCCTAATTATGGTGCATTCCTTAGTTAACAGATTGCATTGTAAGAACCTCTGATTTGAATTTCTTGTAAATTTATCTTATACGAGTATGTAGCTGATCCAGAATGTAACTGACACTTAGTTTGATGTGCAGTTCAGAATGTAGTAACTGTCATTTCCTAAATTAGATAAAGAACTTAAAAAAACCTCTTTATCAATAATCTTGTATGTTTCTAGGCTTGGTAATTAAACTTCCATAAATTTTGTGTCTACAGTATTTAGTCTTACTGGAAGTATGAAGGCTAGCTTCTGGCTTTGATTAAAAACTGCATGACGTTAATATTTTATATGCAATGTGTTCGTGTTTAAAATTAGGACCATGGATTAATCACAGTTAACTCATAATTAGCTCAAATTAACTATGATTTTAAAAAATAATGTCAGTTTTAATTGCACTGTTGAATAATAGAATATCAATTGACATTTATTAAATTTTGTGGATGTTCTTCTGGATTTTCAGATATGGTTATTTCCATTACAACACAGAATATGAAGTATACATTGCTCACTTTATATTATTTTTATTGCAAATATTTGCACTATAAAAATCTTAAAACAAAAGAAATAGAATTTTTCAATTCAAGTCATATAAGTATTGTAATGCAATCTCTATCATGAAATTGTGCCTTAGAAATGTAGATTTTTTTTTTTTTTGGTTACTTAACTTCACTTAAAAACAAAATAATGTTAAACTTTAGAGCCTACAAGTCCACTTGGTTCTACTTCTTGTTCAGCCAGTCACTCAGAAAAATGTGTTTACTTTTTCAGGAGATAATGCTGCCTATTTCTTGTTTACAATGTCACCTGAAAGTGAGAATGCGTTCACATGGTACTTTTTGTAGCTAGCATTGGAATGTATTTACATGCCAGATATCCAAAGCACTTGTATGCATTGGCTACCATTCCAGAGGAAATGCTTTCATGCTGTTGATGTTCATTTAACAAAATAATTGTTCGTTTGTGATTGAACTCTTTGGCAGGAGTTCTCCTGCTCTTTTACCTGCATCCTGCCATATATTTCATGTTATATCAGCCTTGGATGATGACCCAGCATATGTTGTTCATTTTTAGAATGCTTTCACTGCAGAGTTGACAAAATGGAAGAAGGTATTAATGTGAAATTTGTAAAGCTAGCTAGAGCACTTGATCCAAGATTTAAGAATCTAAAATGCCTTCCAACATTTGAGAGAAATGAGAAATGGAACATGCTTTCAGAAGTCTTAAAAGAGCAACACTCTGATGTGGAAACCACAGAACCTGAACCATCAACAAAGAAAATCAGCCTTATGCCGGGGGGCATCTGACTCAGATGATCCAAGTGAATATGCATCTGCCTGCACTGCCTTGGATTGTTACCAGGCAGAACCCATCATCAGCATGGACACGTCTTCTGGAATGGTGGTTAAGTCATGAATGGGCATATGAATCTTTAGCACATCTGGCATGTAAATATCTTGTGATGCTGACTATAAGAGAGTGAACACCTCTTCTGACTTTGACTTTGTAAACACAAAACAGACAGCATTATATCCTGAAAATTAAAAAAGCTTGTTGGAGCAATTGGTTGAACAAAAAGTAGGACTGGGTAGACTTGTGGGATCTAAAGTTTTATATTTTATTTTTGAGTGCAGTTTTTTGTTGTTAATTCTACGTTTGTAAGTTCAACTTTCATGACCGAGATTTCATGACCTAGCCAGGTGGAAGAGGTGGATGAGGCCTTTTTTAAACAATTAACAAAACTATCCAAAGCCCAAGATTTGGTGGTGATGGGGGACTTCAACTATCCAGACATATGTTGGGAAACTAACACAGCGAGGCACAGGCTATCCAATAAGTTTCTGGACTGCATTGGAGACAACTTTCTGTTTCAGAAGGTTGAAAAAGCTACCAGAGGAGAAGCTGTTCTGGATTTGGTTTTAACAAATAGGGAGGAACTAGTTGAGAACTTGAAAGTGGAAGACAGTATAGGGGACAGTGATCATGAAATAATAGAGTTCATGATCTTAAGGAAAGGTAGAAGGGAGACCAGCACAATTGAGGTTATGGATTTCAGGAAGGCAGATTTTGATAAGCTCAGAGAACTTGTAGGTAAGGTCCCATGGGAAGCAAGACTGAAGGGAAAAACAACTGAGGAGAGTTGGAAGTATTTCAAAGGGACGTTGTTAAGGGCCCAAAAGCAAACAATTCCGCTGTGTAGGAAAGATAGAAAATATGGCAAAAGACCAGCTTGGCTTAACAAGGAGATCTTGCATGATCTCAAAATAAAAAAGGAGTCATATAAAAAATGGAAACTAGGACAACTAACAAAGGATGAATATAGGCAAGCAACACGGGAATGCAGGGGCAAGATTAGAAAGGCAAAGGCACAAAATGAGATCAAACTAGCTACAGGCATAAAGGGAAACAAGAAGACCTTTTATAAATACATTAAAAGCAAGAGGAAGACCAAGGACAGGGTAGGCCCACTGCTTAGTGAGGAGGGAGAAGCAGTAACAGGGAACTTGGAAATGGCGGAGATGCTCAATGACTTCTTTGTTTCGGTCTTCACCGAGAAGTCTGGAGGTGTGCCTAACGTAGTGAATACAAGCAGAGAGAGGGTAAGTTTAGAAGATAGGATACACAAAGAACAAGTTAAAAATCACTTAGGAAAGTTAGATGTCAGCAAGTCACCAGGTCCTGATGAAATGCATCCCAGGATACTCAAGGAGCTGATAGAGGAGGTATCTGAGCCTTTAGCTATGATCTTTGAAAAATCATGGCAGACAGGGGAGATTCCAGAAGACTGGAAAAGGGCAAATATTGTGCCCATCTATAAAAAGGGGAATAAGAACAACCCAGGAAATTATAGACCGGTCAGTTTAACGTCTGTCCCAGGGAAGATAATGGAGCAGGTAATTAAGGAAATCATATGCAAACACTTGGAAGGTAATAAAGTGATAGGGAATAGCCAGCATGGGTTTGTGAAGAACAAGTCATGCCAAACTAATCTGATAGCTTTCTTTGATAAGATAACGAGCCTTGTGGATAAGGGAGAAGCGGTGGATGTCATATACCTAGACTTTAGTAAGGCATTTGATACGGTCTCGCATGATATTCTTATTGATAAACTAGGCAAATATAACTTAGATAGGGCCACGATAAGGTGGGTGCATAATTGGCTGGA